GTTGTAAAAGTAATTACTCCATTGTTCTCCGGCGATGAACTTCTGAATAATCATATAGTCCGAGTGCAGTTTGCGAGAAATTTAATCTTCAGTTCCTTGTTGCTTTTGAAGGATTTTCGGAAAAATCTAGACAAGATTTTATCTGGCAGAGGAATATGTTATGTTTGACGACTTATTTTTGGAAGTTTTTTGAAGTTCGCGACTTAGCGCATTGGAATAATGGGGTCTGATGGCCAGACTTTCTGTAACCTTAAGTATCGCTTCTGTTTGAATAGAAGTGTAGCTGCATTGCAAGGAGCTTTATAGATGATTATGCCTGATTAGCTTCTGCAACTTATTTTATAACGGAAGTCCTGTAAATTGAGAAGGCTTCAGGATCCTCTTTCCTGCATGTTTTTACTAAAGTATTATTGTGTTAGAAAAGATTTTTTAGCGTCGTACTCAGCTAACATATTGAGAAATACATCTCTTTAAGTGAATTCCATGGTATGATAGCTCGGTGAGATGCAATAATTTAGTGCGGGTATAGTAATGTAGGAAAACTTGTAACCGAAATAATGATATTCGTAGCAAAGTTGTTTCACTTAAGTTTGAAAGAGGTAGTATTTTTTCAGGATAAAGATTTTTGCTGCTTAAATGCCTTTTCGTAATGTTATATTCATCTCTTGCTTTACAGCCTGGCTCTGTTGGTTTTTTCATTAACTTTGCTTGGCGCTAGAATTCAAGGAAGGCTAAACTCATTTACCAAGCTTCTGCCACAGCACTGACTAATCAGATAGGTGAGGTGTGAAACAGTATAATATCTTTAAAAAATGGCGAGATGTTTGTTCGTTTTGCTGGTAGTTATGGTCCATTCATCTCCGTTTTTAGTGCTTAGGCTTGTTCATTTACTTTTATGAACATTCTTTTGCAGTGCATAAGCATTTTTTTTTTCTGAAGAGGTATTTGGAAGAATAGACTTTAGTACGGTTCTCAATTATAGATAATCTTGTAGAAAGAGGACAAGCTAGAAAATGAAGGCAATTGGCAGCAGTTCAGCGAGTTCACGTTTTGATTCAAAGCAACGTAAAGATCAGTAAATGAAAAATAAATATTCCAGCGATATAGAAAGCATTTTTCTGTTGAATGAAGCATTTTATTTTTTGAGAATTAGGTTTCAAACTTGTTTTAAAAGCAACGTAGAAAACAAATTACTTAAAATTTTTTTCATACACTTACGTAAAACAGTTTTCTTTAAGTTCAGTGTGAATAATAAATGTTGAAAAATATAGAACAGTTTAGACACTCAAATATGGAAAATCAATCAGTAAAAATATCTAATTCTCTTCGCCGTATTTTGATTAGTCAGGTACATTCATAAATAATTAGAAAATGCGAAAAATTCTGGCTTTTTTTTTTCTTTGAATTTGAATATTTACTGCCTCTTCAAAGCTTTTTAAAGATTCTGTTCTAATTTCAAGAAAGATCTTCGGAAGTTCACTACGGGGTATTGTCTTTTTGATGTCATAAGTACTTACTCCACTATCTGTTCACTGTTCATTTTATGTATGTTAGAAACTTTGGGACTTCGTCCCTGTTTGACTGTTTCAACGTTATGAACGGTTCTGCAGCAAATTGCTCCTCTGAGGCAACTGCTTCAATATATTAACATCCTTAGCCAGGAAGCTTGACATCACTGCTTTTGAATGCGAATTTTACTTCCAATGCTGCAATCAACCCAGTTCTTACTTTGTTATAGGTTGCCAACTACAAAATTTGTGATAAGAGTCCCTAATGTAATGAATAATTAAAAGCAGTTATTCTGAGGTACTGTTCAATGTGTACCATGCTTCTAATATTTAGTAAGCTTCGACGACTGTTTTGACATGTGAGAGCCGCTTCGTTATTACTTGGCCGTTATTGCCAGGAGTCAAAATAAGATGGCGAGACTTCAGAAATGTTGGAAGCCACACTAATCTAATTAAGTATAGGGTTCTGCAATTTTTTATTGTTTTTGAGAAGCAGGTCTCGCAGTATCTGTTTTTCACATTTAAAAAGGTTGAAGATTAAGTTTTTTATTCACCACAAGTGAAGCAAAATTGTAAATTTGAGGTAAAAGCCTTTGTTCAGCAGTGGTATTGAGTATTCCAGCATATTAAAAAGCATTGAGTTATTCAAGGGATAATCACAGGCCTACTGTGACCGTCTTCACAGAAAGCGATACAACTTCAACAATTTGAAAAGACAATTTTAATCTTCTCATCACTTACTAGCCGTCAAAGTGGCTGTTTCATCCTGCCGAGATAATTGTTAAACTTGCTTTTGGTTCGACTGTAATTCTGGGGTTCTCATCACGCAAAACTCAACTCATTTAGTTTAATAATGGATGTGGAATCAAACTGCCAATCAATGCTGCCCACCTCTTCTTGAGACTGCCGTCTGTGCCAAATTTTTGGGTGATGGTTCTTGTCGTATAGTGCGGCCGCTCTTATTGCCTCTTTTTATCGGAACAAGTTTATCATGCACCTTTCGCCAGATATAGCACATGACAGCATCCCCATGTTCAACCTTCAGTCTCAAGCCTACAGGTTGGGGCATACTTTCTCAACGCTGAAGTGCCGATAGAAGGGAAGGTGTGAGAGTTTGAAAGGTAGCACTATTGGAGAACTAAAGTTGTTTTGAAGGCGGGGCGTTGTTTTACCTGAGGCGAAGTACCGACCTTCCGTGACAGCCATACTGAATACTACTGCTGACTTAAGACTTCTTTAACAAGGGAGGAGGGGTAGGCAGCAAGGACGTAGCAAGAAACAAGAGAACTTTGTTATGCCAAAAGCGTAATTGGAAGCTGTGTCGATGAAACTGGAGCTGCTCGCACCTCTAAGTTTCCTGAATGCTATTTGTATCTTACTTCGCTTTGTTATCTGTTAATTCAGTCGTGTGGTCAAAAAATAATTCTTTACATTTACACACAAATATAAAGAATAAACAATGCTTGTACCTATACGTCTTTCTTTTCCAATTTTCTGCAATAGAGATGCTGTACTGTTCCTTATGAAGAAACAGCCTTGCAGAATACTTAAGAAAGATAGCGTCTCCACTGACAACTTGGTCATTTACACTAAACAACGAAAAAAACAAGTGCGGTTCAAACACTAAAAAGGCTTTTGGCTCCAATAAAACAAAATACCTAACCGGAATAAACCAAGTAAAAAAGAATCAATTACATTGTCCACAAACAGGAAAACAGTTCCAAACAAAGCAAAGCTGAACAAATAATTCCTCGTCACAGCAGTGTTTTAATCAGAACCCACTTCACCTCAAACCCGGGAATCCCAGATGCCGTAGGCTACAGAAAAAAACGCACTCGGTGTCAAATGACAAAACAGAACTTATATACAATGGCGATTAATCGTGCTAAACCGAAGAACAACAAAATCATAAATTACATATGTAGAAACGACCAAATGAGCAAACCTGTAACGTGGTAACTAAATAAAGGCCAAGAAGCACAAAAGGAACTGGTCGCAAAACTTAAAACAAACGCATAAAAATTTATGTAAGAATTAACAAATCTATAAAACAACCGAATCCAACGATCAGAAATTAGATAAGCGAGGTTAAGCAGAACAAAATAAAAACAATGACAACAAAAGCTCCATGTAAAAAACGAAGTTACAAAGTGCTCCAATCGAGGGACAATTAAAACATCTATCCACTGACACATTTTTAGCAACGTTAGCAACTGATATTAAAATGAAGAAGACACCCACGAAAGAGACCAAAAACGGATAGTTCTTGCGCCAAAACTAAATTCTAAGGAAGTTTCAGGATGCATACTAAGCAAGATCAAAAAATTGATTACAAAAATGAAAAAGCAAAATTTAGAAACCTTCGACAATAAAAATCGTTCATTTCACAAGGAAAATCCACCTTCAAATGATAAAAAAATAAAAACGAAGAAACTAAGAAACAAAATTAAAAACCAGAAGCTGATGAATGGTTTACCAAAATATAATTACCGGTCGCCAAAGGGAGTACCGTATTGTGTAACAAAATGAAGTAGAAATAACATCCACGCTTCGGTTTTCAGAAAACATTTAAGACTGTAAATGAAAAGAAAGAAGAACGGCGTTGAGTAATTTTCTAATCTTACATTGCCACTTAAATCCCGTGTTTCAGTTGACAGTGACGTGACAGACAGATTTCAACAAAATTACAGCAAAAAATGTGTTCCACTTCAAAAACAACCCTAAGCAAAAGAATATGATTAGTACAATTAATCTGTCCTCAAGCTTCAACTCCACTGAAGCCGCCATCAACACTATACAGGAAAATTTTGTTAGCAAAGTCTTGTATTGAGATGCCTTCTACAAGGATTCTCTATTAAAAATAACCTGTGCTCATTGCTAGACCACTTGAATTTTTTTGTTCTTCAGGTAAATTTTGTAAGCTGTTGATCTTAGCACCAGCGGCTGCCGTTTTCAGTAACAACTGCATGTTGTTTGGCTCGCCCAGTGCTCCTTGTGAAACAAATTCTGCAATGGAACGACGATCCTCAAGGATATCATAAGAACTAGTACTACTGCTCACTGGAAGGTCATCGTATCGAATATCACAGCTTTCTGCCTCATGGAGCATCTGAAAAGCAAAAAAATTTCCCTCAACATTTTTTACTTCGTGCTTTGGTCATAAAGAAAACCACAGTACTACTGTTGTAGCAAAAAAGTGTTTCTGTGATCATAGTAGACTTTTTTCAGTAGAATGTCAAGAAAATTGACTAAAGAAACCCAAAAACAGAACGGATTCCTCACAGCGCAAAGTAACCAGACAAATAAGTGCATTTACTAAATAGGTAACAAGTACTAATACAAACGGCCAATTAAAGACAGTAAAAAATAGCTATCTCTGAAAAAATTATCGAGTAACCGCTTTGACAACCTCTAGTATTGCTGTCACTTTTGAGCTGTTAAGACGGCGCTGAAGATACTCCCACAAGGACATCACGTATTGGACCGTCTAGAAAATATTACACTGGTAAGAAATATTTTCGACAATTTGAGAAATCAAAAGCAATAGGCATTAGAACACTCAACTATTCCAACTATGAATTGAAAAATTTGACAGCCAAGAAAAAACTGAAACTTTTTTAATTTATTGATATAATATTAGAAAGGCAAAACAAAACTAAAAATAATTTCGAGAGAGGTAACAAACAATAGGCAATCGGCCCTCTCTTCCAGAAAACTAAAATTTATTTACGATTACTATAGCTGAAACACCTACCATCAAACGAACAGATAAATTTGAATCACAGTCATATTTTCTGATCCGATGTAGTAACATCCTGTACTCCTTAGCCAAGAAGGCCTTGTTCGCATCTAAGACCTGGTCATTCGTCGTATCAGAGAGATACTCCACAAGGTCTTGACTGACGTGCTTAAACAGCTACTATCAAACCACTGTGTATATACCAAAGTAATCCAACTTCTTCATGATTGAAAACTGTAAACTGGCAAAAAACCAAACTAGAAAGCGCAGAACTTTTTCTTTCGTGAGTATCACTCATTTTTAAACAAAGCAATTAAATACAGGATACCCATCAAACCCTGCACTTCTTCCAACTAGCTGAAAAAACAAGCTAAAAATGAATTAAACAACAGAAAAACAGTCTAAATGATAGTAAACATAATAAAAAGGAACGTCATACCACAGAAGAAATTATCATAACAGCAATTAGCACAAGGTCGACCTCAGGATTTGCACAAGAACCTCCTGCAGCATGACAATAAAATCTATATTTTTCTAATAGCCATCCACTAAAGCACACCAGTTTCGCTTGCTGGACATCCCTATTTAGCTCTCTTGTACTGAAAAACAAGCATTTCTTTAAATCCCAAAAATATTTTTGAAACTTCACTTAACGAATTACTGGTGATGCATGCAGTATTTAATTAAAAGTTATAAATACTTAATATTTTTTTCAAATGGTACCCCCTATGTTCCCATATTTGGCGAGCCGCCTCTGCCAGGACCCCAATAGCATAACAATACAATTCGTATAAAGTATAAACTCTCTAAAAACAACTTCATGTTTAAAAGTTGCAGTAGATTTATCAGTACGAAACCAATGCAATGAGCCATAATATAGGTAAAATTCAATTTAAAAAAAAAGTACTTATAAATGAAACTTAAAAACAGTAAAGTCAGAAGAAGTAAAAACAGCTAATTTCTAAATCCTCCGCTGCAAAGAGAAAGATAGATGTCAGAAACCAGGGAACCGACCAGAAGTTCATGTTCAGCTTCTTTAAATCCTTGAAACTTGGTGGCAAATGTTTTGATTGTTTCCAAACAAATTGAAGAAAATCTACTGAAATAAGTCCCAGTTAGATCCTGAGGTCTAAAAAATTGCAAAAAATATTTGACAATAACAAGAAATTCAAGGGTCTTTCCGAAAACCCAAATTAATAAATAATAGTTATTAACTGACGAGTCAACAGAAAGCATCCGAAGCATAAAAATTTTTATGGCTAGTTCAGATAACGGTATTCCATTCAGATGCGTCCATTCGGTCAACAAAACTCTGCAGTCAACATCAAACTCTTCATTATCAACATCCTGCATTCCTTTCACGCATTTAGGGAATACCTTTGAATAGATACAATTAGTAAACAGTAAAACCAACGTGAAGTTCATGAAAAACATAGAGAATAGAGAACTTGACTAAAAGGTCGTGAAATCTGAAAATAATGAACTTGACCACTACTTTTAACCATATAAAAAAACTGACTTCTTCAAATAACTTCGTAGTTATTTCTTCACGTCCCGAAGCATTGCCATCCGGAAATCCCTGCCCCAAGTGCTCGACAGCCCTAACAGCGGTAAATCAAGGAAAGTGTATTTCCCGCAGGCGATTAATAAAATGGTTAGGCAAAAAAATGAAAAAACCCTACTCAACAAATGATTTCGAAAAACCATACATAATAAATATCAAATTCAGAAATGATTTACTTCTTAACCATGACTGTGCCATAGATGTTGTAAGCGAAGCGGTAATAATGCGCAATACTTTCACAGTTACTTCTTTTCCTCCAGTTCTCATCGAGCATTAATTTCATCTCCTAATAACTTTTAAACTGATCATCAGTTCAAATTTATGTCTAAAACTTAATAAGAGCTTCCAGGAAAGAATGACATACTTGGTCATTAGCTATATCAGCAAAATCACAAATTTGCGGACAACTACATGCTCCTGCTACTTCAACATTTTGTTGTGTATCCCAAACACGCAGTTCTTCATTCAATTTATCATTGTCTTCAGATACTTTATGGCCCAATTCGGATGGCAATAACTGCACAAGCTGATCAGTACTTCCAACAGATAAGAAGGGATCCGAAACCTCTGAAAGCAACGACAAAATGCATTTTTCGCTGAGCTTTCTTGCTAAGCAAATGAGTACGCCTACCAAATAGGTAATAAATACTAACGAAAAAATTCAGTTGGGGACAGTAAAACTGAAGTTTTCTGTCATCCCTGCTAACAGCAGACCTACCACTGCCAAACAAAGCTGTCTCGCTTTTACACCTTGTGTAAACTATGCAATAGGCCGAACACGTCCTTTTCGAACCATAAGCATCTTCTTCCATCTGCTCGTATGTTGCAGGCTCAACGCTTTTGTCATTATATTTTCGCCACCTTGAAGCCATGCTATCCTCACCTAATGAACTGTAGTCTGCAATGTAAGCCCAATAGTGACCTACATTCGCTTCCCCTTCATGTATAATAACACTGTGAAGGCGGTAGCACTCCTTAAAATAAATACAGTTGTGAATTTATTTCAAAAATTACGAACTTTATACTTTTTGAATTTATAAATTAAAACCATTCTTTAATATGATTCTTTTGGAAAACAACCTCTTTCATTGAATTCACATCAAAGATCGTTTCAATTTGCATGTTGAGAGAGCTGACTTCACTTTGCAGGGCTAAAAAACAGACCTCTATCGAAAATGAAAAATAAAACGCTTTTAACTTAGAAGTAAAAATGAGAGACTTAAGCCAAACTCTAAACCAACGGGAATAAGCGACCTGGGAATAAATAAGTTTTAAAAACGACAGTGAATGAATTTGAGGGAAAAAAGATGTTTAACAAATCAGAGTACATACCAGAAAGCTTTGACTGAACATCACTTGCTAAATTTCTCAAAAATTTCGTGACGCTCATTAATTCTTGTCCATTATAACCAGACCTTTCAGACAAATGTGTATTGTCATCACCGGCTCCACTAGCAGGTAAATTCTGGGCATCTACAACATAGTAATACCTAAAACCGTAAATTACAAAAAACATTTAAAAAAATAGCTAACCACTGTTTTTTGGTGCAACAGCGATTGTATCTGAAGAACATGTATTTGAAGATAACGTTGGTTCCTCACCAATCTCCATTGGTTCAGCGTCTTCTATTTCAGCACACGGGCTAAAGTAAGGAATTAAAACTTCCATATACCTTATAGTTAGCCTAAGAAAATGAGAAATGTTCTCCGAACCAACAATTAAACATACTGTCTTGATTCAACGTCCATTAGTTTAATGACAGCGCCAATTATATTTGGCTGAGACTCATAAGAATTACCAACTGGGAACTTTAACATCCTAAAAGCGAAAATTAAAAAAAATCAAAAATCTTAAAAATCCCTTCAAAGTAGAAACCAAATTGTGCCATTTTTCACTCAAATGACAATGCAAAAACGCAGAAAACAAAACTGACATTTCATCCAGGTTTTTCAATAACCTTCTTTTGAAAGTATGTAATTTTTAAATTGATCATTACACTCCTTTAAGCTTTGTATCTACGTCCGCCTCATACCAAAATAAAAAAACCTTTGATTCGCCTGACAAACTAATCCTTTTTGCCCTCAAAAAGTCTGTTTACCAAAACCACGCAGATTATATTTTCGTCGAGATGTGTGAAAAGATACCATCCGGAATCGCATAACTCAAAAATGTCGTAATTTTGAATTCAAAAAAGTTAAGAGTTAGTGAATTAAGAGTTGAGAGCTAACGAGTGGAATGCAAAATACGACTTAAAACTGCATACATAAATTTTCTTCACGGCCTGCATATACGATCAAGTTCTACCGAGCAGTCAAAATTAATAAATATGCAAGAAGTGATACAAAAACTTGAGCCTTCCCTTAATAACCAACTAATGTTCAACCTTTTAACCAAATCGTTCAAACTGTAATCCAAAATCTAACCTGTCTAGTTCTTTAGAAATAGCCAAACGCTTTTTCTTTAAGTTTGCTTGTTTCGTACGGTTCTCCAAGACATATTCACGGTTTTTGATCAGATACCGATCAAGATAGAAACTACGAGGAAAGTGAAATCTGCTATGAATCTTTTCAGTTTTCCCATTTTTGTAACTGAACCTTACTAACGAAAATACAATAACTGGTGGAGCTGTTTCGTACCATAACTGCAATGTTTTCCAAGTTTAATTCACCTTTGACTCTGAACGATCGACTATAACAATATTTGCATTGATGATTTTCTCCTGCGAAAATAAATTTTAAGAACGTAAATAAGGAGTGTAGGAAAAACAGCACCTCGTGTGTCGGGAAACTCGATAAGTGGTATGCCTCAAAAGAATCGTGCAAATTCCCAAAAGAAACATCCAGGTTTATAAGTTGAAATTTATTTTTCAGCCCCGCAGAACTGTCCACTAAAAGATACAGCAGTTTTAATATGAAATTCAATTTTTTTTGATGACTACATGACTGAACAATAAAATGAGCTTTATCTCCAACTCGGTTCGTCAATGCACTCAGTACTTCCTGCACGTTCACTTGTGTTTTACCTACTTGACAAAAAAATTCGAAAACTTGCCACCTCCTTTTTTTCAGTTTCACAACACATCATAAATTTTCATATATTTTTTACTATCAAAGTAGTTAAAGAAAATCAATCTCCTAAAAGAACATTAACGACTTTTTGTAGTGAAGTCAAACTTTTTGATTGCCTTCCCCACCACCTGACGTATGCAAATTGCCCAACCTGTAACTTGCAATGCTTCCAAAATTACCGAAGAAAATGAAGTAATGTAAACAAGAAAAATTACATATACCGGAAGATTTAAATCTAGAACTGATTTTTGGACAGCACTGAACTAGAAAATACATTTAGAAGCTCTAGACTAACTATTCCAAAAGATCAGAAGTAAATCGTCTAATAAATTCTGTCAAACGCTTCCTCTTATGAATCTTCTGTTATGAAATAAATCAAGTTGTTTTAAAAAAAGGCAAAAAGTAAAAAAGAAGGAATGAGTCATATTCTTGAACCAAACCACGAGAATTGCGAAGTTCGACGTGTGAACCGTGGAACATAGCTGTGAATGGATTGATTTGATTGTTAAAGTTTATGTCACTTTCTGACTTTACCACAGTGGTCAAACTGCGCGAATCGTCAGACTCAGGGCAAGTTGAAGATTCCAAAGCTACTGGTTTTTCAGACCCATGAAGCTTTCCACTGGCTTTCGCATCGTTCATTAGAAACCCCTCCTTTACGGTTTGATCCATATCTTCAACAGTAGCCTTGTCGCTTGGTCCCAAAGTTACAAGAGCAACACCTTTGTCCTAAAATTATGTAAGGCATAACGGCCAAAGAATTACTAAGAGAAATAAGTGCTAACAGTCCCAAAATCTACCTGGAATGTAGCATCAGGACTGGAACTTCTGACTAACTTTGTAGTAAAACTGTTGTTTCCCTCAACACAAGGTTCTTCAAATCCCTTTTCAAGCCACTCTGTAAACCGTAGTAACATCTCCATACAATCCTTAAAGTTTTTGATGAAAACGACAGCTAAGAAGCAGCGTTTTTTTGAAAAACTACCCTATCAAACACCTGGCAAAAAAAGAAGTCAAAATAAACACAAAAGCCTACTTGCTGGATACCAACACAAGGGACAGCCTTCAATAACGTGGTTGCTAAATCGTTAACTACATTTATTGTCTCAGTTGGGTCGATATAATTGCGCTTTGATGCCAATAAAAAAGCAAATAAATCACGAAGAGCAATTATGAATCCTATAGGCTTTGTAACCTGAAAAATTTGGGCTAAATTGAGTAAAATAATCAAAAACCTATTAAACGCAGAAGGTCTGAAAAAATAAAAAAACTAAAACAGATACAAACATTTATTTGAGCTAAAGAAGATAGTCTGTCGCCGCAAGGGACAGTTGCCAACCCAGCACGGGGATACTCGAACTCAAGTAACATTTTTCGAAATGCCGGAATATTAAACAATGTCTAAAATAAAAATTTGCAGAGCAAGTTCCGTCCCGATAAAAACAAACCCTCCAACACTAAATGTTTTCTCGCCTTTTTGAACAAGGACCAAATCAGAAAAATAAAATGCCACTTTAAAAAAGTTCACAAAAAATCAATGAAACATTCAATTCAACTGCAGCAATTCGGACAATCAATACCTGAATTATTACGTTAAACCAACAGCTATTTCCAATATTTTTGAGCCCAACAGGAACTCCTTCCAATCGTAGCCTTTCATAAGGATTTTCTGGATCTTTCTGCGCCACGGGAGAAAATCCAGGTATATTCTGATTCTCTTTTAACGATGCTTCGATAGCTCTGTACGAAAAATTAAAAAAAGGTTTCTCAATGTTCTGAAGAAAGTGTAGAAAAGTAAATGAATAAGTCTTACATAACAGTAAAAGGACCATTCACGATCACCTAGGTAATCAACTTATCAACCCTCTTCAGAATTATATCTGAATCATTTTACGAAAAAAACAACAATTACAATACGGCAAATGTTTTTACTTTGCCATATCTTGCTCCTCACGATTGTCACTGATTTCCCATTGCTTTTTGTCTTCTTCCGAAGAAATATCAATGACATCTGAAGCCCTGTCAGCAGTTTTAACTTGCCTACTGGCCGGTGAAACAGGCGAATGTTTCGTAGAAGAGGGAGATTCCGGATGCTAGAAAAAAGATTAATCTTTAAATGTACGAAGAAAATGTAAGGAAGACTCATATTTCTAAATAAACCCAATCATTTCTAATGCACAAGCTAAAAAAATAGCAATTAGAAACTTAAGACAAAAGTTTTCCACTAAAAATTTTAAAACAATAATCTTCTATACGAATTTAAGAAACAAACCTCTTCAAAGCGAACCTGTTTGGCTTGCCTATCTTTCAAAGTGTCGATTCTGTCAAAGTACGCACCCAGCACCTCATTTAAAATGTTTGCAGGGTTTGCAACGGTACGCGACACAAGAGCACTCTGCAACCACGAAGAATTAAGCACAGTTAGATTTGAAACATCTTATTACCGCAAAAGTAACGAAAACAGAAAAACAACTTCAGAAATTACCCTGACAACGTCTCTGAGTATCCTTTCGTCAAATTCACCACCAAGAAATCCACTAGCCTTATTATACAAATCATCTTCTTCGGTAGAATACCCGGTTACCTTAAAGAAGTTTTAAAATTGATACGTGTACCACCCGTTTAAAACACTAATAAATATAATTCACCCTAAAAATAATTCAAATCCGAAAAGTAGAATCACATGAGTCAAACGAGTAACCTTCCACAAAATAAACAACTTCAAACCAAGGAGAGGTACCCTTGTTTCGTACTTCTGATGATAAAACTGATACTCCTGTTGAGAAGTTCCCTTTAGTTCCCTTTAGCAACCAAATGCTTCTGTTTCTGACTATTTACCAAACAAATTTAACAGCTACTTAAGCACATCTATCACAAATATACAGATTTTCGTCATGTAACACAATTCAATTTAAACTCTCTCTAAATGCAATGAAGGATTTTTAAACTCAAGATAAAACTCATCTTTTACAGCAAAAATCTGAAATTTCAGCATTCACATTTATGACTACTGAGTGAACAGTTTCAGAAAATTCTGTGCACTTAAAGCAATTTCGACTAAAATAGACAGTAGGAAAAGTATAGAAACAACCAGTAGTCAAAAACAAAAAATTATACCCAGAAATTTGTTAACTGCAGTAGCAAAATGGGTAATTTTCCGAAATCAGTCAACATCCCGATTAATTACTGTTCAGAAAGCAACTACAGATTTACTTTTAATAGAATAAACTGAAGTTACCTTAAAAAGAACAGTTTTAGTTAAAGGAACCAAAATGAAAAACCTTACAGACAACCAAGTGAAGAAATGACGTAATTCTAAAACAGTTTGACTGGACTTATACAGCACCTTACCAAAAAACCTTTGCAGATAGAACAAAAAAAACTCAATCTCACCAATAACCTGATAGGCACAAAAATCCAGTCACAAATTACCTACGAGTGAAGGTGGCACGCAATTAAGGATCATTAGAATATTTTAAAAAGCAAAAGTTAAAATCAACAAACATGTGATATCTGGTAGGGATCGCGAAGATCCTCTTCTTCAGCTGCAGCTCCACGTCCTTTTGCATCAGGTGGAAAAGGAATCAATGTCATTCTCTGGCCCAAGCTAAAAAAGAATTAAATGAAAATTCAAGATTCCAGATCTTTAAAAATATAATTTCGCTGATTGCTGATGCCAAACAGTGTGCAACAGCACCAGATGAAACATGTTGGTTACTTTATCGTTATCCACAAAAAATTCAACTGGGGTGAGGTTTACAAACTCAAGAAAACACTTCTTTCGTTTAATTTGAAGAAAAAACCGAAAATCACTGGAAAGCCCTCCTAAAACACAGAAAAAAAGAAGAGTCAAAAAAAGAATATTAAAAAGGCTAAAACATTTATTAAAAAATATTCTTAAAATATCCTACTGTGAAATCCATACGCTATTCTTGACCCCTTTTCACTTCTTTATTCCAGAAAAAAAAAAAAAAAAAAAAAAAAAAAAATTAAA